CATGAAATTATTGTGTTAAAAGTACATGATATTCTTTTAATAATCTAATAACCCCCTAAGTTCATTTTTTTGAGTGTAGTATACTAACAAAATATAAAACTTATCTTTGATTTCACCATTAAATTAATTTTTTTTAAGTCTTCTCTGTTTTTGCTGTTGACATTTGTTTGCTTTAGTTTTAAAACAAAAAAAAATTAACAATTATTTGTTTTTGTTTGGAAACAAAACAAACTGCACACCAATTTCAGGGGAATGTTAATTAGGCCTTTCACTTTGTATTCTCTTTCTAAAGTAAAATTATTAGATCACATTCTGTTAAGGACTGTAAATCTTTTAAACTAGTATATTAAGACAAAACTGTTACTGATAGTTAGCAAGACACATACTTTATTTATACAGCTGGTTCATTAAAATAATTTGAAAAAAAAAAACAATTTAAAATTCAGGTGGTAAATAAATTAAGCAAGTGATATACATGAAAAAGAAAAATTATTGAATTTGAGTTAGATTTTAAAGTAACATCACAACTTTCACTGAAATTAAATATATTGTCACAATGGAGATCATGGGTCTATTGCCTGTGAATTTTATTTTCAGTTTTAAACCTTATTCTTAATTTTCTTAAAAACTTAAGATGAAAATATTTATCAGGGAAAACATAAATAGAAAACATCTTTATTCCAGACATAACTCTGAAAGTTTCTTTTTAACCTGCCAATGTATTATTTTGGGTTGTAGAAGACATATCTGGTGGTGAACTGCCCCTTTTTCCTTTGACGGCAACAAACCCATTGTCCAAGTAGATTCTGGACCCTGTGCCTCCAGACTCCAGAAAGACACAAATGTTTCAAACACTACTAGCCACTGATTTTAACTTTCATTCGACAACACAGATAATACAAAAGAGCATGTCTGATGGTCTGATCTCTTAGCCCATAGATTAGAGAACTCAAACATCTGGGGAAGATAATAAAACAAACATAAAAAACACTCTGAACCCATAAAAATGCCACTCTTGTTAGGATTTGTGAAAGAGCTATAATTAGCGGGTTATTAATAGTGGAGGAAAGACTCAGGCCCAGTTGAACCAGGTGCAACAGCAGGGTGTTACGGGCCTTATGAGCTAAAGCTGTATCTGTGGAGGCTGACCTGGCCGCTATAATGACACTAACATAGGAGAAAGTTGTAGCAACACCAGCTGACACAAACACAACACATGTATAGGCCCTGTCATATTCTGCAGTTACAGCACCAAGCACCAAAGCGAAATTAGAACAAACATCTTCTACTTGCCACCTCTCCATTTTCTCTAATGAAAACTCTAAAAACATCAAAACACGAGTGAGATTGTTCAGTGAACTGACAGCCCAAATTGCAATGATTACCACAGTTGTGTTTCTGACGGTGATGATGGAAGAGTGCCTCAGTGGGTAGCACACAGCCACATATCTCTCTAATGGCATTACCACCAGTGTTAGGGGAGAAATCCCAGTCGTAAGATTGGCAAGCATGCTAAGAACAGTACACAGCGAATAAGCCAGTTTGACTCTGCACACTGACAGTAAGAACTGCATTTGACTCTGCGCCAGCTGGACAGTGTCTGCCAGAAGAAGGTTGTAGAGTAGAATGTAACGACAGGTGTCACGAAACACAGGTTTGCTCCTCAGCGTGAACAGAATGGTCCCATTGATGTAGAGAAAAACAAACGATGGAACTGTAGACAGGGTGGAAATTAGTGCTATCCTCAACAGATCCTGGTTCTGACTTGCTGTTGTCATGTTGGACTCAGACTGTGACACATTAAACATGCTGAAGAGCTCTCAAAACTAGTTGTACTTCACCTGCTGGTTAAAACAAACATTCAGTTAGACATTGAAGTTAAATGTAAACATTAAAAAGGAATGGCAGGTAAAAAAATCCATAAGTCATAGAAAGACCATTCACCTGTGCAGAACTGAGCTTAATGTCATGGTATGTTATCCGACTTTTCTTTACTCCAGTGGAGATGACAAGTTCTGATCTCTACAAGTGTTCCCATGACACATCACATGTTAGCGTTGTTTACTAATGAATGACATAATCCCAGTTGTGCAACAGAGCTCATGTTTTATTTCTCAATTTTGCTACTGATTTAATTCAAGTGAATAATTTGAATCACCACCGTATATGCAGAATTCATCATTTTTGTAAAGAGCAAATTCACAGCCAGCATAATGTAATTAAATGCAGTCTTAATCTGATTACATCTGTGTAATCAGATTGAGACCCAATTAAAAACATTCAAATTTGGCACAAGTTACATTCAGTTAGATCTTTGTCTACCATAACATTAAGACAATTTTAAGAAGGCATCAATGTTTGCATTAAGGCACCGGTGGTCAAGTGTAGTATAAACAAGGAAAGATTAGGGTTTGTGGAAACCTTTTTTTAAATCTTAGACTTATTTGGCATTATGGAGACTCTGCACATGCCTCCTTTCCATAAGTGGAAAATGACATTGGAGAGCAAAACTTATATTGATATTTTAAGGAGATGCAACAGATGTTGCATCTTTTCATTTGTTTAATTTTCTTTTTTTTTTTAAATACACAATATACATGGTGCCATGCGTTTGTTAAAATGCTAAAGAGAAATATTTTCATACATCTCTGTCTATCACATTTTTTAATACATAAGAACAAGGATGCGCCACAGATCCATATTAAGTAGACAACATGCTACAAGTCCCCTACCAGGTGTAAATTATTGATCCTGTTATCCTTGAATTGAGTATTAAACAGGAAGGAACAGAAGGCCGAGTTAACAGCTGCTCAACTCTATAACCATCACTGCTCCCAACAAACTAATTTCAAATTAAGATTTGTGCTGTGATTTCCACATCTCTGTTGTTCGCACACTTTATTCTCATTTATTGTTGTTTTTTAATGGATAAAATGCACAAATTTGACGTTTAAAAAAAAAGTGTTCTAAGTTACACATTCCTTTGAACCGTACGTATGTTATTTTAAATGTTTTACACATGCTACATTTTTGTCCTTTTGTGAACCTACATGCCTCAACCACCTGTCAATTTGCTGCTGATTCACCTGAAATTCACCACTGTGGGATAATAAAGGACTAAAGGATATTTCTATTCTATTCTATTCTAAAATGTCCTCAAAGTCTGAAATTGTCATAATCGCATCTGAAGTGGGTTCTTGCTACTGTTGAAATTAAAGCGTCTCAGAAAAAGACTGTAGGTAAGGAGTTAGCCTTTGATAAGAAAAACATAAGGACTTGATTATGTTGACATAAAAACTTGATGGACATAAAAATATGCTTTTATGTTTTTAAACACATATGTTTTTACTTGACATAAAAACCCAAAAACATAAGCTAACTTTGATAAGTTAGCCTTTGATAAGAAAAACATAAAGGAGAGGAGTTTACCAGAGAACATAGACAAAGACCAGGACTTCGCAAATAATGTCTGGACAGAGGAGTGAAAGTTGAATAAATTAAGCACTAAATAGAATAAATGTTTGGGATAGACCAAAGACAGCTTTCAAGAAAGAAACTTATACAAAATGTGAAACATGGACGAAGTGACATGTTTTGTTTTGCTGCAACAAATTAAAAAAATAAAGTAAACTATTTGACAAAATGCAGTTTAAAGTATTTAGTCAGTACTGTATTGAGTAACTTATTTTTGTCAATTTCCTATAGTTTTTCCACATAGAAGTGCCTTTCATCCACACATCATTAGAAACATTAAACACCAATGGGAATAATTTATTGTGTCAATATTTACAGTCATTAATGGTCTGAATTTTTAATACAGCTTAATGACTTCTCAGGAGGCTTGGCCTCACATGGGGTTTTCTGTCATGCTGCAGGAACATTTAATCAAACAATATTTCCACAATAACAAAAAGTTTAGTAGAGCCTCTGACTTTTTTCGCTTTTGAAAATATTACAGGAAGGAATATTTTAATGTTTAAATAATCTGTTTTTGGATAGATCTAAAATAAAACTAGAACATTTCTGAAGAAATTTAAATGGGCCCTGCCAAAGTGTGCCTGTCTGATGCTACAAATTAGAATCAATGCTAAAGTAAGCTGCAATGTACTCAATAGCATGTGGAGAGTCACAAACATGTTGAGTAACATGGACTTAGTCCATCTGTATGTTAAAATTAGTGTACAAGTTAAAATGAGCCAAATTGCTAACATTAGCCTAAATGCTGTTGCTAGCATGTTGTTTTACATTTTCTTCCTCCATTCAGTGTACTAAGTGTGACTAATAAATAAGAAAAATAGATAAAAGCTATTTTTAGGGAATGCTAATGGGGAGCAGTGCAGTGTATTAACCGACAAAAGAGATGTAACTTCTTTCATGAATATAGGTTAGCCAAAAAACCTATAAATTACAACGAAATAATGCTACTTCCACTAGTCACCAGAAGTAAGACCCATAATCGTTTCCCCAGTAAGCCCCCGAGGAGTAAGGTGGATAGAACGTTCAGTTCCAATGGTATCAATGACATCAGCAGTGATGTCATCACTCTATGATATCACAAGGGAATCTCTCTCTTGAATGTAGCTCACGGACAGAGTTTTCTCTGATCCGTTCCACAGTTCTATCGCGGCAGATCACCCTTCAGAGCACGTTTGACGTTCAGAGAAGCAAGAAGTTACTACGATATAGATATGAAGCAACAACAGATTGTTTGCGAACATGAAGCTTTTCCAGCTAAGCTTTCATGGGTCGACATTGTAGACCTCAACATCCAAGTCGACTACGACGCTGTCATTTTCCCTGTTGAAGATGACAGCCCCATTGAGCCGGAAGATGAATCAGAGATCCAGGGGGAATCAAGTCCTTCCGGC